CTCCTGAAAATATATTTGTCTAATACAGCTCCCGGTTGAAAAAAATTCTGATACCATGCTTGCTGATAATCAAAACCAAAAATGGAAATCTATACATAAACACATAAATATTATTGGTATTTTTATTTCGTTTATATTTAAAAAATATTTTAGATGATCAAAATAAAATATAATTATAGTTTATATAATTTATATACATAATATATATCAATAAGTATATTAAAGGTATGGCTCGCACCTTATTGGCTACAAATTACAATCATATAGATAAAGTATACTGCAGTATGCTAAACGTATACACCGTGACCGTGATCCTAATATACGTTTCTTACATTCAATTTTTTCACATTCGAACACGATTCACCGACCAATTTTTCGACCATCTTGTGTATGTGCTTATCGATGACACAAAAGTTTGCAAAAATTGTCAACCGTTCAAAAGCGTAAGTATTCTGTAATCAATAATCATACAAACATGGTGTTATTATAATAATGTACCTATAATTGGAGCACTACATCCCACATCTAAGTCTTGAATACCAACGAATAAAACAAATAATTACTTGTTTGAAATTCAATTTCTAACCGGACCTGTATATTATTTTATACAGGTATCCGGGTCGACGGTAGACGGAGAGAATAGAGATATATTATTCTGACATTATTAAAATAATATTATGTAAACGAAACTACAATACACACACACAAACACACATGAACTGTATCGCATACGTATATGCACGGGGTGTTAAACGTGTACGCAGGGGCGGATTGGCCTATCGGGAAATCGGGATTCTTTCCGATAGGCCGGTTCTTGTGAGGGCTGGCAGGGCCGCTATAATTATTATAATAKAATTACAAAAAAAATTATATTAAAAAATCAAATACCTTCGTAGGTATTATTTTTAATATCTTAAACTATTGCAATTCATACTAGGAATTTTGGTATTTACACTACTTTTCTTTATTAAATGGGTTAGCTGCATTTTTCAAAGAGTCATATCAATGTATGGCTGTTTGGTCAAAAGCTACAAGGTCTGAATGTCTGATGTAAAACATAAGAAACTACAATTAATTRRAGAAACTAGGTGGTGGGTGAAAGAAGAAGCTTTGAAAAAAATGTTTGGTGATTTGAAATCTACTGATTTTTTGTACATTGAGTTATTAGTTTCACTTTATGAAATAGWAACTTCTGAACATTTTTCGGTAGAAATAAGATCCAAAGCTAACAATTTTAAGGAATCAATGTTAAAATATTCCACATTRCTTACAGTCTTTATGTACCTACTACCTAAGAATTTACAAAATTACTTCCCCATTGTCGAAATATCTGCAGACAAATGGAATGGGCTTGCATAAATCTCAACAATTAGTTAATATATACCTCAAGAGTTACCAAAGACCAAAGAATTACAACATATACAAAAAAATGTTGAAAAAAGCAGGTGGATGCATTTATTTTAAATGCTAATAATCAGAGATCAGATTTTATAGCACTAAAAAGTAAAAATAAATGAAATATGCGCTATAATATGAATAATTTTAATTAAAATGTAATTATTATTAATTTAATTATCTAATTAAGAAACTAAAAATTGACAGTTGTAGAGAAAACTTTTTTTATTAAAATACTTACTGTATAAGACAATATAATATATTATATACAGTTGGAGAAACAATAAAATTTATTTTTTATTTACCTACCTATATAAAAAGATTAGAACATTAAATGAAAGTTTAAATTGAATGTCTATTAGTTAAAAAATATTTAAGGATATTTTCTGTATACATATAATTACAAATTTATTAAGATAAAACTTCAAGTTCAAGTTAGAATAACAGTCTGAACAGGTTAACCTTATTTGACTAACTCAAAACTGTTATAGCTTTAATTATAAGTACCTATTATATAATTTACTAATTTAGGGGTGAAACTAAATCAAATTTGAAACTTGAATAAAATTATANGGGGGGGGGTACATTTTCGAGCAGGGCCGGTTTGATCCATATTTCGCGGGCCGAAAAAATTCACCAATCCGCCCCTGCGTGTACGTATATATTATATGGCCACAAATCACAATTCGCAACAAGTAGGTACTGTGTGATTAATKCACTGAACAACGCTCGTTATTTCAAAAACTATTGAAATTTATAAATATAGTTGTGAGTCGTTACAAAACAACATTTTTCTAAGAAAAAATAAAAATATTTTTAATGTTTTTTCTATTACCTATTGTTATTTTTAAGATTTTACTTTTTTTTAATGACATCATACCTGATACCTGTAACTTTTACAGAAGGTACCGTTTGTAGTCTCAACTATAGTCTGTACCGATTTTCTTTTGAAAACAAATCTACCTTTCTGATAAACATATTAAACTCAACAGGTGTTTTAAACATTTTCAAGTCCACGGGTACAACATTTGAGGACTGCTTATAAATACAAATTAAAATTTGTCGTTTTATGAAATAACGTCTAAGGGAGCAATATATCATGACAACTTATTATGGAAGGCATTGGCGTAAATTAGGGGGGTGGCGAGAGGGGGCAACTRTCTTCAAGAAACTGAAAAGATTAATATTTTAAAAAGATTAACTATAGAAAAAAAATGAATTGATTAATCAAAATGTACTTATATTCATTGCCATTTGCCATAATATGCGATATGCCATCGTAATACATCATGATAACAGAATTTAATCTATCCTCATGATATTCATAATTCAGAATGTTTTTATTTAAATAAACCATCATCTTATCAAGGTTCTTCCATCATGTCATTTAATTTTATATTCTACCTACAATAAAGATTTAGCTTAAATAATATTATTATGTTATGCTTTCCAGTTTCCATTGATAAGTATATTTAGTATCTTAATTAATATCTAAATACCAGTATACGGTATATCGACATAAAATAAAATCCCCCCCCCCTCCATAAAAATAGCCCAAGTTACGCCTATGATGGAAGGAATATACGTACTCGAGGCAAAGAAAAGCAGCTCTCCGTGATTTTATTTAGAATACTTCTGTAACACGGGAACATGTCTAACGAGAGGTCTAGATTATTGGGCTTGTAAAAGTCACCGACTCTACTAATGATATCYGGTCTGGCCTTCACTACTTTGGAATAGATTTTCTGGAGTACTTTGTCGATGATCAATCTCATCTAAAACAATAATATAAATATAATATAATATACTCGGATTGGGATTACCGAACACCGGTCCCCGTAAATCGACAAAACGGATAATTAATTTTATTTTGATTATTATTTGAAATACTTTGTTGTTCAAACGTGATTCGGTTATCAAACTGAGCTTCTCCGAGTTAGACAACTCATTGCTCKTCAATTCTTGTTCTACGGAATTTTTACATACGGTTCTACTGGACATTGTGTCCTAAATTTTGCGAACAAATTTATTTAAATATAGTGTGCTCCGTTAATTATCATTTAAACATGTATTAATTATATATTAATATTATACCTTTGGCTCGTTTGTTGTGTTCGTTATTGAGTCGGCTGAAATGTTATTTTTGTTTCGGTTCTTGTAACCAATGAACAAGGAGAGCGGTTCATGGCCAACTTTGAAGTCACCGTACACCATAACGTTGCTTTCGGTGACGTTGGTTCTGACGGCATTGAAGTCAGAGAAAACGGATCTCTTTTTCGTCGAATATTCGGATACCRTCTAAGTGACAGTTATAATTTAAATCAATATAGGTATATAATGTTATGATATTATAAGCACAGCGTATAAATACAAGTTTATGTGGTGATTAATATAAAAATTATACGAGGAATCTAAAATAACTGTGTTTTTGTGTTCAATGTATAAGTGTAAGTATCAAAAATGTATACCGTTCAGTTGTCAGTGCAAATGGATCAAGCAGGCGTATAACTAAAAAGTAAAAACGAAAAATTGTTCAGAAAAATGTATTTAAATTACTAATTAATAAATTATGGTAGTTTAAACCAAATGATATGTATTAGGATGCTTAAACCCCAAAAGTCATTATTCTATCTTATCATTCTATCTCCTATAAAAATGATTGGAAAATAATTTTAATATTTTAGGCCTAAAATTTGGTCAATAGAAAACGTTGATGAGTATAATATATATATATATATATATATTATATTTTCCACGAACAGTTTATGTGAACGCAAATCACAGCTCAAGACACCTCACTATACCATATACTTAAAAAAATTACTTATTTCCGTGACGGTTGAAATTAGACTATATTTATCGGAGCATTTGAATTTCTGACTATACCTAATATAGAAATTGATATACGTAATTTATAAAATAATTAAACAATATTTAATTRAACATTTTATAAATTTAAAAGTAAAAAATAATTTAGAATTTTCGTGATTTTCGTGATTTTAAACAATATTCACCAAAAACAGAAAAAAAACTAAGGCGTTTTTTCATTATTGTACAGTGAAATTAAAAACTATGTTACGACATACTGCGTCCCAGTTTTCCATCCACGTGACACTGAACAAATCTCCAAGACATGTCTTATATGGCCCAGATTGAGATCGACAGTAGCATCCATACGAATCTTCCCTGGGCCCTGATGCAGTTATYGCCAAAACTAATTTTAAAAACAGATTTATACTTTTAATTATACATTTGATTAAGGATACGAATTGATATAGTTTAAATTCTAAAATATAAATTTTCCTAATTTACAAAATTGTTTTGTATTTAATTTATCACTCAACTTCCCCAGTTTATTTGAATATAATATAGGTATAATATAAGTAGTTTTTACATTTTTAAAACTTATAATCACTCGTTGACATATTTATTTAAGTAAGCTTGGTACACTTTTTTATTTAACTAGACAGTCAGTACTTATAATATTAATATAAGTTATCAAGTGTAACTAGAATTTTGACTATTGGCCAAGGTGATTTCAGAAATTTTTGAAGACGGCGCTACACCASCATGTGTTGTCTCCTGGTCTGCGTCTTACAAATAAAAGTAAAACAAAGTAAAATCTGTTTTGTGTGGAGACAAGGCGATTGGGGAATAACTTTATCTATGTCGTCATATAAAATGTTTAAATTAATAAACAAAAAAACTTATAACATATTATATAAATACAGAAAGAGTATAGTTGTCGCCCACGCAAAACGGTTTTTGCTAAATTGTACAATATTGTAAGATGGAAACAACACACGCGAGTGTAGCGTCCTCAAAGAGGGGAAATTTTTGTATTATATTTTATACATATAGATTATATTAGGTCAAATTTAAACTTGTATAGTTTATGACTTATGAGTTATTAAAATATATAAATTATGAAATATGAATAATGGTTCGTGAAAATAGTTTTACAGAAAAATATAAAACAAATGTAACATTGGATATAGCATATATTTTGTTATACTAGGACATTTTTACAAGTTATAAAATATAAATATTGATCAACTAAAAACTAATAGCTCATTAATAACTAAAATCTTCAAACCATATATCGTAGACACTATATCTTAAAACAGTTAAAACTCATTATCATGGACCTATTAACCTTAGTACCTACACAAATAGTTAAATAGTATARAACCTCGTTTAAATTCCTATTTGATGAATTTTCAAATTCAAACAAAAGTCATCAGATTAACAATCTAYAGGAGAAACAAAATTATAATTCACAATAAAAAAAAAATGTTATTATCGCTTCAGGATATTAATGATACAAAAAAATCAGAATATTTTGATTAAATTAATTATTAAAATTACATTTTATTACAGTATATTAGATTTAAATGTATTTTGAATAGAAAGAAAAACTAACTAACTCTTAATAAATAATTAAAATAGTTGTTTAATTTATTTGTATCGGAGCAAAAAATAAATAAAAATAGTAACAAAATCCTTAATCTCTGTACTTACCATCTGYGTTGTCACAAAGAATCCCATCAAACATAGAACCTGCCTTACACGCTTCAATGTACATCAACACCTAATCAYCGGAATTTAAAAGCATCAATTGAAATATAAAATTGTAAAAAACATTTTGATTTAAAGGAAAAAGTACCATTCTATAACTTGAAGATGCATGCATGGAATTGAGCGCGTCGTTCAGTTGATCAGCGTATAAGATATCGTCTGGAAAACCTAATAATCCTGTGGTACCGTGATCGACGAAATTAATGAAAACTCTATCGCGCGGTCCCCTTTATTGCACAAACAATTTCATAAAAAAATATTTATATAATACACGTAAATATATATAAATGAATACCTATATCTAGTTACACTTTTTCACCAGAAAATAAAAATACTGAAGTTGAAAGTCGAAACATTATTTCGACTATACTTATCGAGTAAAAAAAACACATATCATTGTAAAATCTATAAATTCATAGCTCCGCTAGAGTCTAAAACAGGTATTAACCTGTATAATATACCTAATTATCAGATAATTATATATTTTACGTTATGTTGATCGATACACCGTAAAAGTTATTTTTAGCAAAAACTGCACAGCATCAATACATGTTTGGTTTCACATAGGATTAATAATTATAGTGTGTAGTATGTGAATCGTATGCCTAATCTAAGATCTTTATGTTTTTGAATTATATCTGAACGACCAAATAACGAATCTGGAATTCTGAAATCGTGATAATTTATAAATTATTATTACGACAGATATCATAGAAAGTAGGTAAATAGTAGATTAATGCATTTGTCATTGTTATAATTTGTATACTATTTAGTATTTACGTTTCACAGTGCAGTAATTGATTTAAGAGTTATTTTACGCTGTTTATGATTTTATACTTTTCTTTTTCTTTTCTTCGAATGTAGCCATCAGTATTTATCATAAGCAGTGTATGTGATATAAAAATCATATTCTAACTTCTAACAAGAAAACTCTAAACCTAGGCTCGTAAAAAAATTACACCCTTTAAAATTGTACAGCCGGTGATTCCTGTCCTCACTCCTCTAGTTTCACTACTGACTGTATTGATCTCCTCTGAACCCCTATAGAAAAATGTATTTTCTCCGAAGACGTGTCTTTACTTTTTAATTARACATCATCCTAATTGAAGACGTTTACATAATATTACGAGTATACTAACCCTTCAATTACTTTTCCAGTTCCAATAGACTGCATGGCTATTTTGTCACCAGTGATGATCTTCAAGAAATTTGTGCTGTTTACGTCCTAATTTAGGAATAAAATGATTAAGCTGTATATTATAGCTAATGAAACTGCATTATGTATATAATATAATTATATTATATTTATATATCTAACTATATTTATTTCAAATAAATTTATAAAATTGAACAAATGAAAATCCGATCTAAAAATGTTTTCTATGTATAATGTTATGTATAACTTAAGACTTTTTTTAAAATATAAAAATATTTTATCTATTTTAATATGTATGTTTAGCTGCGATATACGCATGGACTTGAGAGTCATACTACCATCTGTGTCGGTGACAGCAGTTTAATATCCGGACATATTACGTATARTATATTTATACGAAAACGTAAATATCCAATATCAGTAAGATCAATAACGGAAACGCAACAGCCAAAATCATGATGACACTTTATGTAGTTGAAAAATCAAATCTTACGATCTTGGAGGTTCGCATTATCGTATATTCAGCTGCAGTTTTGCATTCATGGCCGAATAACGAGAAAAATATCTTACCGTCCCCTTGTAGTCGATAACAACTCCTTTGTACACATCCTTTCCGTCGGGTTGATTAACTATTATTCCTGGCGTGGGATTCCTGTGGTAAAATTCCAATGAAAATGTAAATAAGCAATGAAAACTCGAGACAAAATAATCACAGTGAAATACCAGTTCACAGTTGTGGGTAGAGGAGTTAAATATGCATTTCCCTTCTCTCACGAATGAATGCACAATGTACTCTGACCATCCTCAATTAATAATCATGAGTAGGTAGGTGGTGGAATTATATACACTTAAACGAAAAAAATATTTAAATATGCACCTATATTCAATGTGCGCTTATATACGAACTACGAAAGTATTTAAATTATACCATTAAAATTCCCCAAATATTAATTCAAATAAAATTTTTCGTATACCTTAACATCAAATTCAGTTATAGAAACTTAAAAACTAAATTCAAACTAGGTACGACTTGACCTACATTTAGTTAACTAATTACGCCCCTGTTAAGTCTATGTGTTTAACAATAAAATAATACATAAATAATTAATACTTCTAATAAAATATAGTTGTATAATATTACATTTAAAACCTACAGTAAAACCCAAACCCTAAACCCATCAGTACCAACCGAAAATACAGCTAATGACCTCAGTTGCCGAAGATTAAAAATAATATTCATTAATTAAAATATTAACCTTGGGTTGTTCGCAATGTCATCCACCATCATCGTAATGATATTTTCTTTCGGTATTCCGTTTTTTCGAACTATTTGGTATGCATGACATATGTCCGCCTAAGACAGTACATAATACATTATTACATAATTTAATATAATATTCTATAATCTATATAAACGATTTTGAGCGTATAGGACAATCTTAGTAATATATTTTCAAACTGTGTGGAGTTAAACATTTCTAGGGAAAAATAAATAAAATGAATACATATTTTTTTATATAGATAATGCAATGTGCACACTCATAGATTACATTAGGTCAGTGGTGTGGCCTGGGGAGGTGGTTTGGGCGCTTAAACCCCAATGACATTTTTTCACCTGATAAATGTACTTATTTTTCATATACGAAAACTGTAAAAATTGGTTAGTGTACACTTAACCCCCCTCCTCATTTCAAAATTCTGGCTACGTTACTATACTGGGTACCTACATAATTTAAAAAATAGAAGGACATCAGTGCTTATAAATTCTAAACATACTAATAATTTATGTAAACATTTTTCAAAATTACAACCATAGATGTATTTTTTACGGAGGTACTAACAATATGACTTATAAGTTATAATGGTACCAAAAAGTGGTAATGTCTGRTTTTTTTTGTTATGGTGTGAACAATGGATAAATGTAGAAAAAACCCACTAAATTATGGATATTTTAGATGCATGTGATATGGATTTTCACTCAAATACTAATAATTTCCTGTTGAAAATGTTGRCGACTACTAATTTCTATAGTAACAGTAGCAAATAGAGCGTTTCTTTTCAATAACGCTTAAAATAATATATAAATATATAATATAAACAACTTTTAATCTTTTGTCAGTACACTAGGAAGTGTGTATCTCTATTTTATATAGATGAAGTATTATTGAATACACTGGCCAAAATCAAAAAATTTATATCAAGTACATTAGGTACTTATATTATATAACAGCCAACAGAGTGGCCAACGTGCGTACGCATGTCATGATCCTGTCCAAGAGACATTAGTTAAAAATGATTAGATTGTATTGCATTATAGTCATAGGCGTGCACAAGTGGTATGCAGGAGTTCAGGGTATGCATCTGCATACCTGAAGCTCTTTGAGTGGCGAAAATCGATAATAGAAAAAAACATTTTTTTTTTTTGCGTGAGAAAAATAATTAATACGTATATTAAAATATTTATAATGATAAGAAATATGATTTAAAATTGAAAATGAGAGAAATTAAATCAGACTAACGGCAGTGACAACGTTTGATTCACGTATAAAATCATAATAAGGTGATTGCTATGCCAACCACCATCCGACGTATAAACATACCTATGACCAAGTGCTATTAGCAAATTGAAACATCCAATTATTAGTTATTAACTACTGTTAACCCCCCCAAGATTGGCCAGACTGCTGTCGGTAACATTTGGCCCTGTACGRTGACAGGCCGGCTAATTAGTTAGTTGTGAACCAGATGTTGTCTGTGCTGTGTGTCTCTCTGTCGGCTTGTGCGAAGTGCGAGGCCGAAGAGTGACCATTGTTTTAATAAAAGTTATTAATTCTAAACGAAGTGTGTTGTTGTTATTTTATTTAACTAGTAAGTGTTTTGGCGATTGAAGAAGAGGCGATAACATAAGTCAGAAGTGGGATTAGATCTGAAGTGCGTAGTGCCGAAACGTGAAGTGTGACGGGTCACGTAACTGGTAATAACGTCGAGTTCGTTATTGTGGTTGACGGGTACGCCAAGGAGATTGAAAACGTTACCAGTTAATTGCGTGTCCACGTATCATTTTTGTGTCGTTGTTGTTGTTGTTATTGTTGATAACGTTCAACATGATGGGTGATAAGAACGCGAGTTCTGCAGTACCACAGGCACCAACTTATAATGAACTTTTCGCGCTTGTTGAGACCCTTCGACAACAGGTAGCCGCTATGGTAGTGTCGAGTAAGGAAACCTCGAACGCGGATGTGGCTATTGACAATCGCGTCAATCTGTGATGATTTTCGGGTGTTGCCAGATCTTGACAAAACCGTCGGTACCTTCGATGGACGTGAGTCTACCCATGCGTCGGCCGATTGGTTAGCCTCCGTCGAAGGGATCGCCGATTTAAACTGTAGGCCGTTCGCTTATCGCATTCAGTTCGTGCGTGCGAACGTGCAAGGAGTCACCCGTGATTGATTTGTCGGTCGATTGTTCGTAGATTGGTCAGATTTTAAAAGGCAGTTCAGTGCAACGTTCGTCCGTACCGTCCGAATGTCCGATCGCTGGGACGCTTTACGTACGCGACGCCAGCTGAAGGACGAACACTGTATGGATTATTTACAAGCCAAAGTCAGGTTGTGTCGTGACTTACTTATTTCGTTCGATGAAATACGGGACCACGTCATACAAGGATTGTACTCAAAAGAAGTCACCATGTATGCGATGAGTAGGACACACCGAGATGAAAACGAGTTGCTGACAGACCTCTTGGATTGGGAGAGAATGCACGCGTTGCGGAACGCCGCAAGACCGGCACAGGTAAAATCCAGGAAACTGTCAAAATTGTTGAGCCTCGACGTAGTCGGCCTGCTGCTGCTAGCAGTGACGAGAAGAAGTCATGGAGACGGATGGCGCCTGTTGCAGGAAAACCTGAGGAAGYCCAGGGAAAAGTTAGCGACGACGTTGAGCAYGGCAGCTGTTTTTACTGCCATAAGATCGAACACCTGTCCGTGATTGTCAAGTGAGACGAAAATCTATTACGTGTTACCATTGTGGCGTGGCCGGACATTTGAAGTCAAACTGTCCAGACTTAGCACAAGTAAATGCCGTGTCAGGGGGCGGCGTGCTGAAGATAAATCCTAACCTGAAGGTTGGAGTGATCAATGGACAGCGCCCTAATAAACACTGGGAGTTCGTGTACACTCCTAAAATCCACAGTAGCTGTTAAGAGCGGATTGGGGATACGACCGTCCGAAAAGCGATTATACGGTGTGAGTAGCACAATCGTCCCATCGCTAGAAGCCGTCGGCGAATCTACCATTGAAATTATTATCGATGGGGTCAACGCAGGACCGGTAGGCGTCCTTGTGGTACCTGATGGGGCTCAGAGGCCTGACGTTATAGTTGGATGGAATTGGCTGGACTCGTCGACCGTTACTTACCGTAAGGTTGGTCATGATTTGATTATTGAAAAAGTATCTTCTGCCAACGAGCTAGTGGAGCCTTCGGTAATGACGCTGGGGAATGAATTTGATGTACTGTACGWGGTCGATGAAGAAGATGTTGATACRMYKGTACCGCTTGTCCTGGAAGATTTTAAATTCATAGCTGAAGATGCCAGSTCGGTAGAGCGCGAAGAGCTAATGAATCTGGTCAACGAGTACCGTGGGTGTTTCGCCAAGGTACTGTTGGAGCTAGGATGCACACCACTGATGACCATGGACGTTAACGAAGTGCCTGGGAGCAGGCCCATGGTGTGTAGGCCTTACAAGACGTCGGCTGAAGACCGGAAGGAAATCGCCGAGATTGTCGGAAAGTGGAAGAAATGTGGTGTAGTAGAAGAAACGCAGTCGCCATACACCAGCCCAGTTTTACTTGTAAAGCAAAGTGGTGGTAAACACAGGTTGTGCGTCGACTATAGGCGATTGAACAAACAAATCCTACGACACCATTTTCCTCTGCCTGATATGGGTGAACAACTGGAGTCACTAGCCACGGCCAGCTTGTTCGCTCAGCTCGACCTGGCGAGTGGGTATCTGCAGATACCACTCACTCCTGAAGCAGCTGCAAAGACTACTTTCATCACTGCGGACACCACAGGACAGTTTTCACGGATGCCCTTCGGGTTATCGGGTGCCGTAGCCGAGTTCACTAGATTAATGCACGTGATGCTGGGGCCGCTCAGAGGTGATGTGGTTCGAAACTATCTAGATGATATGRTTGTAGATACCGTAGGTTGGTCGGACATGTTGTTCAAACTGCGTCGTTTTTGACAGGCTGAGTTGTGCCAATTTGACACTCAAGCCGTCCAAGTGCTCGTTTGGAACCAAACGCATTGCATTTTTGGGGTTTGACGTTGAAGGTGGAATGATACAACCTGGAGAGGAAAAGACTCGCTGTATCGCTAAGTATCCGGAACCTAGTGATGCTCACGCGGAAGAAGATTTTTGGGTCTTACAGGGTTCTTTAGGCGATTCGTAAAGAATTATTCGAAGATAGCCAAACCACTGACAAGGCTTACAAAGAAGGATGTAAGGTTCGAGTGGAGTCCAGAAGCCGAAGAAGCTTTTCTGACCATGAAAAGGTTATTAACCGGACCACCAATCCAAGCCATGTTCAACCCCAAGTCCGGAGTGATAGAGTTACACACGGATGCGAGTGCGGTGGGCCTTGGGGCAATGTTGATGTAAGCCAGTAAGGAAAGTGAGCCCTTACACTTAGTCTATTGTGCTAATCGAACAACGGGTGAAGCCGAGTCCAGGTACCATTCGAGCAAACTGGAGCTGATGTGMATCGTCTGGGCTGTACGCAAGTTGAGGCAGTTCCTGTTGGGAGTGCGATTTACTGTGAATACTGATTGTCAAGTACTAGTGTACTTAAATTCGTCCAGAGGCACTAGTTCTCAGATAGCACGTTGGCACGACTCCCTACAAAAGTTTGACTTCGCAGTGAAATACAGGCCAGGGGTACGAATGGGCCATTTGGATGCACTTTCACGTGCACCAATGAAGTCGGAGGAAGGAGTGTTTGATGAACAACTGGATGTCTGTGTGGTACTCACTCTGGAAGAGAGGGTGCGGATGTGTCAAGCTTCTGATGCAGAGCTCTTAGATATCAAGAAAAAGGTTGAAGCGGAACAAGTGAGTGGAGGTGCTGGGATTCTGAGTGACTACGAGGTAGAAGACGGACTGTTGTATCGCAGATTCCATGGCAAGCTGCTATTCGTCTTCCTTGATCACCACTTGTGTCGACTTGGAGCTCCTGAAGGTCTAGAACGACCTGAATAGCAGTGAGAGTTAGGTGACCAGGAAGACCCCTTTTGACACATACATGGGTACAGGCTGCACTGAAGGTGACTGGGAAGTGCCTGAGGTGCTGCGGTTGGAGGTAAAGAAGCAGATGGAGGATGCAAAAGCAAAGGTTAAGGCGAGGTACGATCAACATAGGCATGACAACACCAGGTACGCCGTAGGAGAAGTTGTGGTAATGAGACGTGCTCCAACCTCTAYGGGAGAGTCCACCAAGCTCCAAGACCGTTATAAGGGGCCTCTGGTAATAACAGAAGTCCTGTCTGGTGATGCGTACCGAGTTTAGCCACTAGAAGAAGGAGAGCGTACTCAACTACTGCGTCTGAAGAGGGTGATCGAATTGTTGACTATGACCAGGTGGAAGAGGACGGAACCGAAGAGGCTGAGGGTGAATCTGTTCAGAAGGAGAGTAGACCTTAACGGCAGCGGAAGCCGTCGGTGTGGGCAAAGGATTATGAGAACTAATAATTATAAATATTGAAATGCTGTTAAATTTTTCTATTTCTCTATGTCAGTTTGTACAGTATGTTCCTTTAGAACTTTAAGTGTTAAAAATATTGTAATGTTGTTAAATTTTTCTGTTTTTTTCTATGTCAGTTTGTACTGTATATTTCTTTTAGAACTTTAAGTGTTAAGAATATTGAAATAATGTCAATTTTCCTATTTTTATATGCAAGTTATGCAACTAACACGTTAAGAGTTCAAATATATTATAATAAGATGTTGTTTTATTTTTATTTTTAAATAAGTTTTTATTACAGTTATTAAGTAAGAATAAYTTAMCGCTGTGAAGTTAAGGAAAATTAAATTTGAATTGTTAAATGTTAAGTCTGTTGAGGACAACAGTAAGGTCAGGGCTGGTCGAGTGTTAACCCCACAAGGTTGGCCAGACTTCTATCGGTAACATTTGGCCCTGTACGGTGACACTGTGACAGGCCGGCTAATTAGTTGTGAACCAGACGTTGTCTGTGCTGTGTGTCTCTTTGTCAGCTTGWGCGAAGTGCGAAGCCGAAGAGTGGCCATTGTTTTAATAAAAGTTATTAATTCTAAACGAAGTGTGTTGTTCTTATTTTATTTAACCAGTAAGTGTTTTGGCGATTGAAGAAGAGGCGATAACACTACTAAGTATTTGCGAAATATATACTTTTGTTATTTTTCATGATATTTGTTACAATATTTTTGTAATTAAACTATAAGACTTTTCAATATTTGTGAATTGTGTAGGTAGTAGGTACCTATATAAATTATCAGAATTTTACATGATTAAAATAACTTTATTCAGGGCACATCTGTGGCAACTTTTGCATACCCTGAAAAAGAGGCTATGATTATAGTTACCTATTAAAAATAAAACTAATAAAAAGTGTTATATATTAATCATGTAAAAAAATAAAAATAAAAGTAATATTCAACATTAATTAGACCTYCCTCCTCAAAAAAAGAATGATAAAAGCAATATGCAATAACAATAATAACAATAATGAAATAAAATACTGGTTATGTGACTGATACCAAAATATACCAAATATATATACCAATGGTATTACTATATTATAAAGGTATTAGGTATTAATGTCTATAATATATTAATGTATAATATACACTGCTGTCAAATCAATACCACTATATTACCTATTAAACTAAATAATTTACACTTTCGATAAACTATAGTAATAAATATTTTTCGAGACCTGATGTCTGTAATTACGCCATCCATCCGAACCGGCTACCAAAACTACCCACTTCTTGCCATCGAAAAAATTATTTACACTTTCCGAATCGGTGAACTGTTTCCTGTAACTGTATGGCGCGTGAAAAGCAGATGATCCAATTGAAAATAATGCTAGTGATACGAAATTTAAAATTCCTGTAATAAAACAAATATCATCAGAGGTTAAAGTGGGAAAAAATTCCAGAGGGAAGTTATGTCTCCATATAGTTTTAAGCGTTCCATATATAATTTTATGTATAATGTCTAATGTATAAAATCCTAATTTGTTAAAGGGGACGCTTTTTAACCGCCGTTCAGAGGCAAGGGGACTGAGTCTTCCTGCGTCCCTCCCACTTTAAGTCTTTAACCCCTGAATATCATAGATTTATTTATTTTATGTTAATACACATAATTCGAAAAAATGTATTAGTTTATTTCTTTTAAAAATCAAACAAAACTATGCCTATTATTTAAAAATGTATTAAGTAAACGGGATATTTTTAATTTTAGATTTTAAGTGGAACGAACGATGAATGTTTTGGTTTTACATTTTTACAATTATGCCTGTTATTTCATTATTTGTTTATGCCAATTATTAGATACCGGAAAGATTAAAAATACTTCAATTTTTAACTATGAGGAATTGAGGACCTGTTGAAAATTTTATCATGTTGGTATCTATTTAGGTAAATCAACGATCGAAAATATTTTCGAGTAGGTACTTTTGAAGTTATTGGTAAAACAAAAACTTAATTTTTTTGCAACACCATTTATTTCCTTAATAATCATGCTTTTAATTAGAATTTAAAAATATATATTTATAATACCTTAATTTTTTATTTAATATTAATATAAATATTTTAAATTAAAAATAATAAGATTTTAGATTCTGAGTGGATCGATGAATGTGTTGATTTTACCATGATGTGTTTTTTTTTT